TGGTGTAGCGTAGCATTGTATGATTGTGACTTTCCTTTCTTTTGAGTTGAATCTCACAGTCATGATGCTGTAGGAGGAGATTGATTTGCACTGCATGAGAGAGAGAGAGAGAGCCTTCAATCCTTTTGTAGACATCATGATAGCCACTCCATAACTCAGTGTGCTCATGGTTGTCCTCTGGGTGACTGGGTAGATTATTGACTGTGCAGTTGACAGTTTGGAGAGTCGACTTCCATTCCAGCTACTTTCGCAGATTGCTATCACTTTTATACTGTGCCTTCTCATCTCTTTTGCAATCTGTGCTGCCTTGCTAGCTTCAAACATGGTGTGGACGTTCCATGTCTCCACGTTTACTTTTGGTTTTATCGAGTGAGGTGTAGACATATCGGCTAATTGGCTTGGTGAAGGTTTTCACCAACCGGCGTCATTTCACCTCTCTGATTGCAGGGAGGAATCAGTTTGTTTTAATTTTTATATTGTGTTTGTGCTGTGAAGTTTGTCTAGCGATTGGATTGGTTTTGGAGGGTATGGTTGCTAGCTGTATGCCCAACCTTTTCTCTTTATACTGGCCTAGAACCAGCTAGTAACTAGTGAACTAGTTCACTAGTCGAGGTTGTTATAACTGTGAGGGATGTTTAACCGGAATCAGTATTTCAAGGGAAACTGTGAGATGAATCAATTTGAGCAGTTTTTAAATCGAACAGTCCACCTATGTGATATGTTTTTGTTTACGGTGTATATCTATTAAGATTATTGCGTATCAGAGTATTTCCTCATTACATTTTCCCCCATCACACGCAGTTTACAGTTATCAAAAAAAGGACCTGCGGAACTGTTACAGTAAGGTTGCTGTGCTTTATATGTGAATCACCACAACACAGATATTACATATGAGCAACCCACTTTTAGCATGAATTTATGGTGAAGTGACGCTTCTTAGGGAATAATGACTCTTCTTTAAATGTTTTTGTATCACTGAATAAAACTGACATTGATAAATGAGAACAGTCTCCTTTAGTGAGTTTAACACTGAGTCAGTGACACAGGTGACTCTGAAAACGATGGCTAACTTGAAGGTGAAATGTTTCAGAGGCAAGCCATAATGGTACTACCCAGTTAAAATCACTAACGAGTTATGGAATGCATTAAAGTAGAAAAAATAAATAATTATCATTTCGACCTATAAATGTGTCTGTTAAGCTTCAGTTTATGTCCACATCACAGGACTTAACACTATTGCTAGGCTGTGCGTGTATTAGACTAGGTGGATAAATAATCGTGTAATAATTCTCCCTTAGTCGTGCGTTTGTACCGGTGCAGGTATGCATTACATAAAATTTATTTAGTGATACTAGGATTGACTCTAAAGGTCACCTTTGTGAAATAACCCATGAGATTTCTTTGTTTTGTTTCGAAAGTAGGTTTCTGCATAACACTTAGAGCTTAGTGGGTCATTTTAATCGTAGTTAGGTATACCTTAAAGACATTGAATGACTTTTAGAATGACTTTCAAGGCCATTCTAGCAATTGCTGAAGTAGCTAACTACGTTTCTCTATTTTGTAAACATCTGCCTTCCCGGCAAAATACAGAAACCTAATTGGTTATTTCGATTGTTGCTAGGGTGACCTTTAAAGTCATTTGATTTTAAAGATCACCCTAACAGTCGATGAGATAGCCAATTACATTTCCTGATTTATGGTAAAGTACTTTTCCTAACGAAATACTAGGGCGTGTTTAGTTTTTTTCAGCAGTTGCTAGGGTGGCTTTTGAAGTTACTCATTTAGAGTAATGATAAAATCGTAAGACTCTGGGTGATTACTGAAGGTGAAATGAAAATCTGGTCCGCGACAGGACCCGAACCAGTGACATTCGGACAACCGGGCCAATGATCTACAAACTGAGCTAAGGTATCACTACGTGGAACAGATTTTAGTTTCACTTCAATCATCAAAGGTTTCGCTCAACCGCTATTTGAATTCATGATGCATTACTATCACTTGATCGTGTACACACTGGCTGCTCAGTCAGGACTTTTTATCCTAATCCAAATTACATTGAATTAGAGAGGGAGGAGCATCAAATAGATGAATTGGTGAATCACAGGGACAAATAGTTGTATGAGTTTACTGAAAGTATTTGTAGATTACATACTTTCATGCACACTAAATAGATAATTATGCAATTGGTATAGAGTAAGGAAAGCACTTCCTTACACTAGGTTAAATGCCTAATGATTCTTTCTACTAAATATCAGGTTATTTAGCTTGAATATAGAAACGGGTCATTTTCCAAGAGTTAACGAAAATATCTGAGTATTTATTTCATAGTTTGAATTATACAGAGGAGAGAATTGCAATGATCTGGTGTTTATTTCAGTGCTGAAGTGATCTAGACACTAATTTACTGTTGAATACAAATAGTTTATTCATGTACACACTCTTTTTCTTTCTCCATTTAACATGATTGGCCGTGGGAATAATTTACACCTGAAAATGTTTAATGAATCACTTGGCATTTATGAACTTATATATCTGCTACGATTGACCTTATCCCAAGGTCATATTTTTCTCAAATAATTATGAATAACACTAAAAAGTAACTACTTATCACCTTCATATATATGTTTTTTGGGCGGAAGAAGAAATCCTATAGTGGTAGAGCCAATGACAGCATAAAAGTAAACCTAGAAGTTAGGAAACTTTTATTTTACACATAGGTAGTCCAACAACTAATTATGAGGGATTGTATCATTTTAAAGGAGACTTAAATGAATCTGCTTTGATAAAACCGTTATTCAGAGAGTAACTGACTCACTGCTGACAGTAAATTTTAGCCGACTAATCATTTTCCCTTTTTTCCAAAGAAAGCAAATGAATGACTGTCTATATATTCTGACAAAGTCCAAGTATAATGGAGACAAAGCTAAATGCGAAACAGTCACAATTTCTTACAGTGTAATAAATGTTAATTGGTACAGAGGACTAAATACATTGTATTTCAAAAATCACTGATAGTGTTTCAGGGATAGTTTTACCTACCAGTTTAAAGAAACAGAGAATACATAGACTCACAGGATTTATTAGGGTGAATTGTTTATCAATATAGGTGCAAAACTTGGACACTGTGGTAGTATTTAATTCCATATTAGATTTGTTTATTTGATTGATAACATACAGTGATATAGTACTATTTACTTGATGATGTTTCGAGCATAGATTATTGTTCATAATTATATCAATGTTGATATGATTATGAGCAATTATTTATGCTTGAAACGTCATCAAGTAAATAATACTATATCATTGTATGTTATCAATCAAATAAACAAATCTAATGCGGAATTGAATTGTTTATCTTTTTTAAAGAAGAGGAGTGTAGCAATAAATGGAATTATCTTTAATGTGCTTGAACTAACATTAAACAAAGTGTACGTGTTCACAGGTTCAGCCACAGACAGATTGGTATGATGCTATTAACCTTTGAGTAATAGTTTAGAAAAAAATATATAGTGGAGCATTGTTTGTGTGAATCACTGTGACTCACTGGAGTAATCATAAAAGCTAAGGTCTCTAGGGAAATTTAGCCTGATTCAAATTCTAACGCTAATGTACCCCATTCGGAAAATTGCTACAACTGACTTGATTTAAATTTGAGGAAGTAGAATAACATGATTTACTATTTGAATGACCAAAATTAGTGATGTATGTTCTTCAAGGAATAATGTAGACATTTTCATGCTTAGGAGAAATACTTGCAGATGTTCTTTTCTCAAACATCCTATCTTGTTTGATGCTTTCAGGAGTAACTGCATATACTCAAAAATTTTTTACATATACCAATAGTTAGATTCTGAGGTTAACTGTGTTTTGTATAAGTGAAGATGAAATCGCGTATGGTTATCGATTAAAGGCGAGCTTGTTAGCATCTGTGATCTTCGCTATTCATTTCATATATACATGAAATAGTTGCCATCAAATAATTGTGTAAAACTCTAAGTGAACAGGAAATTCAGCTTAAATTTCAAAATAACTCTGGAATCACTTTGAATATGGCACATTCAATATGAATTCATTTATTCATACTTTGACTCTGCTATATTACTAATGTTTAGCGCATAAATTAAATTTGGAAACGAACCGTTTATTCTTTGTTTCTTAGTCGTAAAACAATTCAGTTTTTGTCTTGTATTATCTGAAGAGAATTCTGAACACTAACTAAGTGCCAAAATATTTCATAATAAAAATAAAGCCAACATTCCATTGTTGGCGGATGGAATTAGATTTCTTTCGATCGAATGAATGGAACAATGTAGATTTTCAAGTAGATATATATAGATTATTTCAAATAGTTGAATGTCAAAACATCCCATCAGGGAAGAATAACAGAAAAAAAGCATAAAAATAAGTTAAACTAATAAAGATTGGGTTGATCAATATAAACAGTGCAAACGAGTGTTCAGTATTTAGAAACAAAATACACATGAACATATTTGAATAACTGATACTAACTAAATGCCTAATCTGTAAATATAAAATGAATCCGTTTTATTTCATCAGATTATTATTTACAACATAAAATCCTTAGAAATGTAGTCCATATGAGTGATATTCAAATAAATACCATGTACTAAGCAGCGTTAACGTTTCAGACTTACTAGAATAAAACAGATTCATGTTTTATAATACTGGTTGACAAATTTCCCAAAGGTTAGAAATAGGATGAAACAAAACTTAGCCTATTGAAATGGATAGTTTTTTGTATATTTAATTGATTAAGAAATAATCCCTTTTGACTTATTTCACATTAATTTCACAAAGACTTCTCTCATAAACTTTTTCTTTGTAAGTTATAAGGATACGCATGAAGAAAAGATGTCAAATTGAATAAGTTCTGCAGTCTCTATGGCATTAAATAAATTCTACTTGCTAACCGGTTGATGAGTAGAGAACATGAACATGAGAGTGTAAATATCATTCACAGTGTAAATGTTTGTACTCACCTTGCCAAGTTCAACAAAATTCGGATAAAGATTGTATGTGAGTAATGGCTCTGGTAGCTACATTATAGGGGTAAAAAAAATCGGAAAAGCGGAAATCAAATAAATTTTATTTTTAATGGTAAGCGTAAAAACTGAAACAAAGAGTAGTAAACATACAACTATTGTAAAATTTACCTTCATGTAGTTAGGTTATACTGAAACAAACATGTATCAAAAAATGTCTCACTGATTGATAACTGCAACAAAACTTGGATTCACATAGCTTAGCTTTATGCTCAGTCAGTCAGTCAGTCTACCAATCAATCAATCAGTCAGTCCATCAACAGTCTCCTGTTGCCATTTTCATGCAGGTTTGTTCATAATAACAATATATCAAGTCTTAAAAAATATCTTTATAGTAACGTACTAATGAAAATAAACAAGTGTAAAGCAAAAATATTCTCATTCACTGTTAGTTATACAACAATTTGATAAATTTCTAGAAACTATTTTATTACTTCTAAAACTTTACCATTCAGGCGTTATGCAAAAATTGAAAGTAACAATGATTTGTTTTTATACAATCAAAAGTACGTAGGCTCTGCTAAAATATATAACGATATATGGAAAATGATTATCTTTTATGAACCACGATAATTTAGACAAAAAATGTCGAAAACGTAAAATAAAATGCTTGTAATTTATTTATATCACTCAAGTTATTTAGAAGGAGAATGCAATTATATCCAAATGTTAAAGGATAAAGTAAGCTAGAAGTGGTTACCTGTGTAGATGTAGAAAGTGTGTATTCCAGCTTACATGCATCGCCTCTTCAAATACTTCTAGTAAAGTTGTCTATTTCAAAGTAGTATCTACAATAACTGGCCATCGCGACTGAGTAGTCTAGTGGATATTGCTCTGGTGTTTGGAAAGATGGGTCCTAGGTTCGAATCCCAAATGAGGAAAAGACTCCTTACTTGGAGGCAGATACATGCAAGTGAGTGCCAAATGAGGTGAAGTGCACATCCATGATTCTACTGTTATTCACCAGCCATCATAACTTGAATGTCAGACATAAATATTTCGTTGGTTTCGAATATAAATAGAGTAAATCATAAACACGGCTTTCATATATATCAGAATACATCTACTTACACTATGTCCACAATCCCAGATAAACTTAGGCTGCATCTGATACTTGATTCATAAACCTTGAATTTTAATGCCCGCCACTCATCCCTAATACACTAGATGGTGCATATCAATCAGTCAGAAAACAGAGACTAGTGCTAATTACGTTCTCCGTATTGACTGAAATCTGTTAGTTTGTTGTTAAAATATATCTGTATCACATTTTGTGTTGTAATTAGAATGACTTCAGTTTCGGTATTATAGATTACATAGCTTTCGAGAAATTTAAACCTCTTGTTTTAATTACGGGTTTATTTCAGGTGATTCTTCGCTAAATATTGTACGAATCTGTTCTATCTAGTTGGTTGATTAGCCGTTATTATAGCCAAATTTTTTATTGTTAAACATTTCCTGCTTAAAGATGGACTCTCGAGCAGCTTATCTCTTGGTGATCAACTTTTATCTTCATTTCATATGTCAAAGTTTGTTGTATTCTGATTCAAAACTATCAGAAGTATTACAACCCAAAGAAGGATTGTTGAATAATTTGAAAAGTAAGTAATGATATCTTTCTGAGCAGAAGATGGGATAAAATTTCACTTCCATGGCTAACAAATAGATAGAACCAAATAAAAATTTGCCCAGAAGTCTATAAAATTACCAAACTTCCGAGTGACGCAGAACGGCAAAATAAACAAGGCAAAAATATGGTAAAATAAAATACATAATTAGTACTACTATATGAAAGGTGTTCCATTAAATGGAGGTCCGATAGCTACTCTATCAACTTACTGGCAGAAATTATTATTGAAGCTGAACTAGACAGTCACTGTATGTTTTAGCGAGAATTCCTTTAAATACATAATAGGAATGCCAATATGTAATATATTTTCTGATAATTGTGGCTAAAAAAAATGTAGAATTCTTTCTGACAGGGTTATAACTTTATACTCTGTTAGTTATTTAGGTCATGTTAGCAAAGTTTGTGGATATTTTAATTAACTGAATTAGGATTGGGTTGGAAAAAGGCTACAAGTGACTAAATAAAGGTGTAGCACCAATCAATGAAGTCTCTGACTGCTGATCCAAACCATATTGAGAAGTGCAAGCTGTTTGAAGATAATGGTCAGAGACTCTTGATGATATGGTTGAAAATCTGTGACAATGGTGCAGATGCGTTCATGGGAATTTTTAGCATTTTGATTATTTTTCATTTTTCTTATTCTTTTGACCATTTTTAATGTTACTCCTTTTTTTATCCACTTGATTTTTGCATGCCGCTATGTAGTATGACAAAGTTGTTTTTGACCATCTGTTTGAAAATGAATGAACACTTCTAATAGGCTTAAAATCACTCGGAATACCATTTACATCACTTTATTTAGCAATGTAAAATAAAACTTTATTTATGTGACATCTTGAACATCAGTAATATTGTTAAACTCAAACCAACGTATGAGGACAAATGATAAAATAATGAGACTAAAATCGTCAACACGATGTGTTATTTTCAATGCAAATATTCAAGGGTCTACTAAGGCTTGAAAAATATACACTTTTATCAACTCAAGCTGCAAATGCATTTGATAACTGTTTAGCTTACATGAAATTCGAATAGAATACACTGATTAATATTACACTATTACCTGACTTTTTAAAGTTCTCATCAGTTCTCTCATTCGGATCATTATTCTCACATAATGGAAACATTAAATAATACTTGTATTGAGAAGAGGTAGTACACTGGTTCATATGGTAACTTGAAATGTGTCTGCGTGTGTGTTTGCAAAAAGAAGGGCACAATCATTTCCAAAAAAAGGAATACTTACAGCAATAAGTTGTGTTTTTATTAGGCTAGCTAACGTCAATGGATGTTCTTGACTTAACGAATCAACATCTTTGTTAATCTGTTCACTACTGTTTGGTTGATTCGACTGCAATAAATCCATTAGATTGGAAACCTTTGCTTTTGATGCTGGTACACGATAAATCCCCTTGATAAAGATAAAGTAGAACAAAAGCAACAAAACATTAGATTTCTTTTTTTTAATAACAGATGTTTGTTATGCAAAGTACCTTTGCACAGAGGGCAGATATTTGTTAAACAATATAACTGTAAGATATTTTGTAATGATAGCATAAAACTGAAATTAATATAGGAGAAGTTAGTTGTATTTTGCGCCTGATGCTATAATCGTTCATGAAGTGTAATTTTTGAACAACTTGTATATTTTAGGGGTGGCCTGAAAAAATAATCGCAGATGCACATTTAATTTATTCTGAAAGTTTTCAGTGAGATGTGTCTGGGTATCACTCTAAGATTTGAGGTTTTCACAAGTCACTCAGAACATCAAATATTAGCCTATTTTATTGATGAAATATAATGTTTGCACCTTGTAAGATAAGTGTTGATTATGGAAGAGAATGTTACGCAACAGTAGTAGCGCTTGGTAATTCCAAGTACTCATAAACTCAGGATGATCCAGGAAGAACAAGAACTGTGATAGTGACCTTCAGTTGTGCGTAATTCAGGAGCTGAAAGAGATTAGACAATCAGACAGTTCTAACCATTTAATTTCCCTGAATCTATAGAAGTACAATACTATTCATCGTAGTATAGTAAAGTTGCTTAGCACCTATATATAACTCACTAATTCATTCCTTGAATAGTTATCTCTTGTACCATCATTAAGAGGTTGTTTGACAGGACATACTTGGTGTATCAAGTAATCACAGTACTTGACGTTAGCGATACTGTACTTAAACAACATTAAAACACTTACTCCAAATTTCATTTCGGTTTATAAGTTTTTACTCCTAGTTGTACATGTTGAAACAAATATATGAAATTGTCAAACGTGACTCCTTGTTACGTGTGAATAAAAGTTATGACAGTTGTATGAGGTTGAAGCTGCTAAAATAATCTCACCTGGTAGTCGATGGTTGGACCACAGTATTGTTCTTATTTGATAATCTCGTTGACAAAAATTTTACGGATTCACAAAAATATCACCCTCTTTACCTTGGCTTTCTAATCACTTTATTTCAATTTAAGGTCATTTTAACAGAGAAATATCATTTTTCCATCTATCAAACAGGCTTTATTTCTTTTTTGTTTTGTAAAATACTCTTCTTCGAGTACCCGTGTAACCATAAGCAGTGGGCGTCAAACTAATTTATTCTACAGTTTATTAATTTCAAAGATTCATGGAGAGAGATTATTAGGATAACGGATAAAATACATTAAACTTAAAACACCTAATTATTCCAGGAAAATATCTCAAATAGCTACTTTATATGACGAGATTTTGGTCATTTTTTGCCGTTTCGAGATACAACAGTTTGTCAGATATTCGCAACTGACTTTACTGACATCATTTGTTTGAAACGTCTGCTTTTACGTGTGTTAACTATTGGTCTACCACAGCATCCATACTGACGGCATCATTCTAAAGAAATGCTCAAGAAAATCCTATGACATATGTTTTCGTTAATCCATCAGAGCATTTGGGTAGAAACGTAGCGCTTACTGGTATAAGCACGTTTTATGTGCACTATTTTATACAATGTGTCCAATAATAAAGTAGAGAGATGGACATTTATTTAGATCGCACTTCAGATAGAAAGAAAGATATAGAGTTGACGTCAGCTTGAATGCTACATCCATCAGAGAGATTATGTAGAAACTGTGGAATCTACTTGTTTTAAGCATAAAAAAGAAGGCTTAGAAACTCATATCACTATGGCGCGGCCATCGGGTTGGGTGTATTATGTATATGGATATCATCGTGTAAAGTTCTCATAGTTTGTTTTTACGCGGGTCAATTTTACAAAGTAGTTTTGATTACTAGGCTGTTCTGTCTTTTATGGGTAGAAAAAAACATGAGAAAGAATAGTAATTCATAAAAAGTCAACTTACGTGAGTCGCTAAACCATTAGATTGTTTTTCAATTGCTGCAATGCATCTGGCACTGGATAACATGCAGCTACATACTCTCTTTCTAAATTAGCTTCTTGTGCGGCAATAGCTTCAAGTGCATCTGTTGTATTTCCAGCTGCTGCTGACAGGTTACTGCTTGAAGCTACTGAACGTTTACCACGAATTGATTTTTTGGAGTCTGGTCGAAATAGATTCGATCCAAATTCAACAATAGTTGATAGAACATTGCTGCTTGTTGATACAATACCACCTGCGACTCCACAACCACTTGTATTGCTACCAGTACCACTGCCACTGCCACCACCTGCACTTGTGCTACTTCTACAGGCTAAACTGGATGGCACGTCCATTGTTTCTGTATCGGAGTCAGAGTCTGAGTGAAGAGATAGCAGGTTCCTATGCACCGCTACCATTGTGTAGAAGGCGAGGAAAAAAGGAAAAACAATTAAACCGAAGAAAGATATTGTTTTTAACACATCTTTTTGTATACGTTTATTACATGAAGTTGCACCCATCCAACACAAATACTTAGGTATATTTTGTGGTTTGTTTAAACTGTGAGTGGTTTGATGCGATACAAAGAATCATCAACGACTGTTAGTCATCATCAAAGCTTCAGTGATAAGTGATACTCATAATTTGCCATTTTTATCATTCATTGGAATACATGAAGTCCCATGTTTTGTTTGCTCATTAGTGACTTGCTTCGATATGAGACTCCTAAAGTTCTAATGAGAGGTCGTTACCGGTGGGCCGAACCAAGTCAGACATGAAGAGAGTTACTAAACGACGATATTGGATGGAGGTTGCGCTATAACGTGAACTGACAGAAGTAGGTAATGTGGACCATTGGATTCTGACCCAATGCTTCAGTGGTAACAGACTGGTCGAGGAACCTGAAGGTTTTGGGTTCAATCTCTTGTATGGATATAGGCGAGGACTTCTGAAGAGTCCAATAGTGGGACGTAACAGCTGTCCAGTGGTTCTTGAACTGATGTCAGTTCATTATGAATATCAAACTGAAAACGTTTGTAAGTTCAAAGTTACAGGGATTTTTTAAAATCAACTTTACAGCATCTGTATTTTATTCTTTGTTGTCGTCGGAATCTCGAATATTTTCACCGGTTTATTCCTTACTCTTAAGCTCTCTTGTAGACTTTAACTTCATTCTTTTTGCTTTCTCGTTTTCTTTGCAGACTGCCGTACAGTGTGGTAGCTTAAAATTTTTCAATTCTATGCCAGATTCCACGACGGTATTTTTGTTTTTCTCTTAATGTTTGAGACAGATATGTTGATACTAGCAAAGAATTTACAGATGAGAATGGCTTTTCATATTGTAAAGCGGTTCTTGTCGTCTTCAAAGTTGTCGCTACGTTCTATATCTTTTAACTCACTTTGGTTTACGGATTACTTTTATTTAGTGTTCGGCCTAAAATCCGTGTCTTCAACTTCATGTCTTTTAACTTCTATGACCAAAGATTGTGCAAACTCTGAGACAATCAGCACTCACTAAAACCGAAACCTGATGATATACTGAAGTAAAAACGCATTTGGATATCACTTGAAATCCAATCTAATTTTGCTATACATACAATTTCCAAATTGTTTGGGTAAACTTAAACATAAGTAGTTGGGAATAAAATGTACATAGAACTTGAACGAATAAAGAACGATGACCTTTCTCTTTGAAGTTTACGTTCAGTGAGTTCGAAAAATATTGAAAGCTAGTTTGTCTGACTCAATTCGGCAAAAAGAGAGCATAGTGAAGTAGATCAAACTTGCACCTCTGTGATTAAGAACTAAAATTGTCAGTTTCTGTTGACAACATTTTATGTCTAATCACACGAAGAAATGTGCATAGATTTTAGAAGTTTCTTCACTAAAATTGGATAAAAAATACCAAAATATTAAAATTCAGTTTGGCAACTCTAGCACTGGCTAAATTCTTAGGCAAACAATCTGTCCTCTAAACTTTAAATCGCTTTTGAATATTGGTTACGAATTTAATTATCGATACCAAAGTAAGTTAAACTTTGCTACACTAATTTACAAATATTTTCATGGACCATTTAGTCACAACTGAAAGAATTGGAAAACTGCTGACATTCAGTTTTCCCCTTGACTACTATATCTAGCAGACTTAGTTTGTGCTCTTAATTTTGCGAATTAGATCAACCTTCAGGTAAAGAACCAATCAAATATGTCATAAGCCCTTAACACTGTGTGCGTCATAATCTCTATGCTTGGTAAAGATATTGAGATTTCTACAAGCTAGACTACCTACGAGACCTTTGTCTGATAGCTCAGTTAATCTAAACAGAGATGATAGCTGGAGTTGAAGGGTCTATCGGATAGCGAAATAAACAGACCCATTTATTTCTTTCACCTTCACTAGATGACTGAAGGTCAATTGTTGACTGCATTCACTTAAGAAAAGTACTTATTTCGATTTCAATTAAAAAGCTGTAATATTTGCGTTATGGTACTCCGGAATATCAAAAAGTGAGTTGGTGATATTCAAATGAGTTGGTATTTATCGAAGGTCACAAATTTAGTCAACTTATGCTGCTCAAGAAAGAATAGAAAGTGTATGTATACGGTGCTTGAAGACTGTCAACATAGCGAAACGCTCTGAGGTTGTGCTTTATGTTTGCTGACACAGTGACAAAGTCTACATGTAATTTTCAAGGAGTTTAAACACGTGAATTTCACGAATTCAGAGACAGTTGATTCAAATTTGAATATATAAGGCATCACATTTCGCGCATAACGTTCAGAAACTAAGGTGAAAGTAAAACCTGCTTAACAACGAAATCTCCTAGTTTTATTAGTAGAACTCTGGAAAGTAAGCCTAATGGTACGTTTTTACTAGGAATAATGCAAGATTCAAGTCTCTAAGTCCATTTATTAAGCTGTGGTGTACAGATGTTGTCACTAAGTAAGGAAAAGTTGTAACGCACTCAGCAACTTCGTGCATATTCATGCAGTAGACAGTAAGATACACCTACTACTTTGGGGTTGATGATACTTCCTGGCTGTCCAAACCTCGGTAGGTAGAGCCATGTTTGAAGCTGTGACTTCCCAGTTGGAAACCAACTGCCTAAATCAACTAATGGAGTAAGATATGTATGTCATAAAATCGAAAAATCTCTAGTGAAATGAATTTCACTGTTATTTAAGCACAAATGATTGTGCAGTATCCAACTAACTTTGCCGTCAATATGCAAAATTCGAATAAAATGTTCAAGAACATAAATGACCCCATGGAAAATTTATAAGTATTTTTAGAAAGCGAAATACACTCATTTGATCCTAGGAAAAGACAAGACGTGGTTGCAACGAGGAAAAATTTTTCTTTTCGACTAAGTCACTTACTAGGCTCTACATTCGTGAATATGTGTTGCAGTGGGTAAAACGTTCCAGAATTATTTCTGGTTAGGGGGAAACTATACTGAATAGCTACAGGAAATTAATTCATATACATTTTGGTTTAGAGTGGGAAAAATGTGCCTGCTATCACTACCCAGCCTGGCTGGCAAAGAGAGAATGGAAAGGTATCTTCAGTTAAATAACAGAATACGTTGTGAACTAAGGTCACTTAGTTCCTTTTTAGAGCTCATTCAAAATCCCCTAAAGGGTTCCACCAAACTCCTTGGAGGGAGTAAGATCTAGACATTTGTTTACAGCCGAAGCACCAGCCATCCAGAAGTTCAAACCAGCGTTATGCGTCCAACAAAGGTACGTCCAACCTTTATCTTCACCATGGCCATCATAAAGTCTTGACTGTCATAGATTAATCCTGTACTAGGTAACTATACACGTATTTTCCTACTCTGCTATAGTTTAACTTGCATAACGTAATTATAATTTTATTTTCATAATTCCCTGTTTATTTTATTACCCTACCATACATTCATCCTGTATTGCAGAATTACATTTAATTTCATTATCCCTAGTTTGTTTTCCCAGTCTAAACCCAAGTGTGTATTAACTAACTTTCTTTAGTTATTCGATATATTTTGCCCACTAACCAGGAAATGGTTCTGGAAAGCTCTGCCCACTACCCACATATATTCACGAATGTACAGTTTAATAAATGACTTTGTCGAAAGAAAAATTTTTCTTCGCTGAAACCACATACTTTATTTGTAAAAAAATAAATGTGCTACATTTTAACTCATGATATGTTTGTTTTAAAATAGGACCACCTATATTTCAAACGCTAGGTTAGAAAGAATAACCTTTCCTGAAAGATATGTAAGCTTATTTCACTTAGAGTAAGGTTGTAATATTGAGCATCATATATTTGGTACATTTCAAATACAAAATAATGTCTAAGTGCTCACTTCCGTCCTACTAGAACTGTAAATATAAAATATGAAGGTATATATTTGTTGAACAGCTCATTTTCATGTGTGATCATAATAATGCTGAGACTAGCCGGTTGGAGTACACGTGACAACAGAAACCAGTGCTTAGAGACTAGATGATATGGGTAGAAATCGATGTCTTAGGTATATCTACAGTTTATCTTCATCTTAACCGCTATACTGAATTCCGCATTTTCTCAACCCTCTTTCCTCTCTTTTAGTGCCTTCTAATACTTCTAACCGATTTTTCTTTCTTTTTTCAATCTTCCATCTCATTGCTTTGCTACTTGTTTGCTGACACAAGCTATGGCAGACTGGACTGTTGCGTGGTAATGTCTGGTCCTACGTTGATACTGATTAGTGGGATACTGTGAGTTTGGTGGTTGACAAGTCTCATTTCCTCATACAGTTTATAGTGTAAAAGAGAAGTTCCCTCTTTTTCACAATGCGTGTCAGATATGGTTATCTGAGTGAACACATCTGACCAGACTACATAGCTGTTATCAGTTTCCTCCATCAACTAGAAGCCAGAGAACGAAAATCATGGAGTTTTGAAGCTTTATGGAAATTAGGGAGTTTTAACCTGAGATAGTAATCATAAGTACGAAGAATGGACAACTATTTCTTTCATTTATATTATTATCATTAACTTTTCTTAGATGGAACAGGATTATATGAAATCAAGAACATTTTAATCATTTTATGTCATGCCACAGTTTTGTGACGGATTTGGTTGTGATCCTTGCCGAAGACATTCAATTTAGATGTAATATTGTGAGAATGTACTAGTAACATGTCTGGCTGTCGACTCTCCTCCTATACTTCTCGGGCATTTTCTTTTTCTGCTACCTGTTTTACGTTACTGCTCCAAAAAAGTATAAGTCATCTAAGAAACAGAGTGGGTTACCTACCACACAATCTTGAGGCGTTATGCTCTCGATCTACTTGATAACCTTTACTCGTGTTCCTTCTCCCTTAAACACAAACCCAACCGCTTCAACAATTCCACCTTGAGTCTTAGATAATTGAAGAACCATATGTCGGTTAGCTGTGTGCATGTAGCATTATAAATTAATCAACAGTCAGAATGTATCAAGATTAAAATACAACGTAACCAATAAATTATCTTTTGCTTACAAAACGAGTCTGTCGCAGAATCTCCAGAATCTTTACCCAAGCGACTTGTTATACGGCCAGTATCCAGTCTAAAATTAAAGAGATTGACATCTGTAAATTTAGAAAAGCATATGGACTTATGTGAATATAATTACATTAAATACTTTTAGCAAAATCACTCACAAAATACGTGAAGTTACTGTCTTACTCACACCCTTAAATTCATGTTTTGAGTACCAGTTCTACAGTAAAACTCAGAAATAATGAGTCACTTCACAGTTTATTCCACATCTTGAACTAGACAAATATAGCCGCATTAATATTTTTTTGCAGCAGAAAATTAGAGAAAAGATTGTTCAACACTTGCATCATAATGACTTAGACTATGGATTTCTTCAATCAAAATGAGGTTATTTCAAATGAGAAACCTCGTTCAAGAGTAGTTATTCATTCGACATGGTTGTTTCCTTTATGAAATATTGGCTTTATGGAATATTTAATGAGGGCAACAAAAGTAAAGTAGAATTACTACAATGAACAAGATTACTTGCAGCTCACAAAATATGCATCAATCCCTCTTGTGAATTGCTCTCCATAAATAATGGCATTAAAAGAAGTCAATTTTAGTTAAGTGCTAAGTCTGTTAAACTTTCAGCTTTCATTAGTTCATCGATAAAGAAGTGTATGCAACTTAGGCTTACTTGATTTATACCAAACAAACAATGAGCTGTCAGAACCTAGTGTATATACAGAACTCAAACGTAGTTGTAGAGAATAACTATGCTATGATACATCATTATATGCTATGCACGGCAAATGAAACATATCCTGTTTCATCTAACTTAGCTGAAGCAACGGATTATATCAAAGTCTACCTCTGTCTTAACATTCAAGATCAGACACACTAAACAGATATTACTGCTTAATAAACACGCTCCGGGACTCATCAAAAGATGGTAAGGACTCATGAGGAAGAGACAGACAGAGTAGTAGTATTAATAATAATTGCTACATGCCTAACAGGGAATTCAAATCCTCTGTAATGTTGCTTTATAAAAAAGGCATGTCGGAAATTTTATGTAGAATTCTTAACAATGCTGGCATTAGGTTGGCATTCAAGCTCACAAACTCAGAGAGAAACGTTTTAGGCTGAAACGTTCAGTAGAGCCAATTGAGCAAAATAACTTGATCTATAAGATACCATTTAGTGATTGTGAGGTTAAGTGAATAAATCAAAGTGACTGATCAAACTCAACCAAGATAGCGAAGCACAAAAATTTAAAGTAATATAAAGTGATAGACTGTACTGAAAATTGTAATTTAGCAAAATGGTGAGCTGTTTCTGAGCCTAAACTGACTCATAATCACACAACAGGGTGGGATGGAGTGATAGTTGTAAAATGTAATATAGCTAGGCGATGAAAAAAAGAGATTGGTTTGAGTATCTTCACTCATCTAATCAGTACCTAACATATGTAGTAAGAATGACCATCAAACATGACAGATATCTTGAAAATTTTACTACCGATAAGATGAAAGGAGGAAGAGCTGTTGGACTATATAAGTGAATTTTGAAAGCTGTTTGATTACTTTGACATAACTTTCAGCAGTAGATTTTCCTAGAAACGTCATACACTGTACAATACTGTATCACTGTGTGCTACATCAAATGAACAAATCTGATATGGAATTGCACTGTATCATAGTGACCAAGTTTTATTTTTACATTACCGACAACACAAGGTTTCACATTTTGGTTGTATGTAGGAAACAGTTTCCTCATATATTTATCTTGCTCAGTCTCTTTAAAGTCGTTTTAAAGATGCTCAGTCTGCCGTCAAAACTTTGCCTTAGTTAAAATTAAAACGTGATATTTTGCCTACTCTGTTCAGTTAGTATGTCAGTCTTCTAGTTGTCTCTTGGTCTGGTAGTAGCTGTTAGCATACTTCCGCATACGGATAGACTTGATTATCTTGAAGCATTTCGACCAATGAAATTGATGACATGATCAGTGTAACCGATCAGAACATAGAAGTACATAACTGCTCTGGTCATCGTTGTAGATAGTAAAAGCGAGTATACTATTCTGTAAAGAGCAAGACTGATAGTAGAATAACATATATTTTTCAAAGAAAATGAAAAGCTTCAATTTGTCACATACCTCAGTAGCAGACAGAAGTTTATTTATGAACTTACAGAATGTAAGAGGTTGAAAACTAAAGAAAGAAGAAAAATGTTTTAGAAATTTCGAAACTGGTAAATAGTGAACTAATGTATCCTATGTGATGCATTTTCAAGCAATTCACTGGGGTTCGGCAGTCAGTTATGCGTAGCGCTTCAGAGACTCTTGTAAGTTAGTAGAATGAAGGCAGAAGTGAGAGGAGGGCTGACTGTACCGAATCTAGTGATAAGTGCTTCAAGAACCATCGTTTATAAAAGGGACTTCAAAGTAATGTGTAACGACTGGTAACGATAATTTTGTTTAAGCGTCAACAAAACAGACTTTTCTTCATATGGCTTTGAATTTAATTTACTAGCATACCTGATTGTGAAGCTTCATGTGATTTATATATCTTGTTATTGTTGATGATGAGAAGATTAACATCATATTTCATGTTAATTGGCTTTCAGTCAACCTCATTCTCAAAAGCGAAAGTGTGCGTAAAAATACATGCAGAAAACGTGAACGTGGAAGTGGTTGATAAACCGTGTAAAAAAAACTGCAGTCAAAAGACTGTCTAAGTGGAAATAAATTTTACGCTTAGTTAGATATTTTATAGAGTGCAACAGAGTGTTCTTCTGCTTGCAGTGGATTCTTATGAACCTGTTTGTATGTTTCACTGTACGCGTAAGTATATAATTGCATTGTCTTTGTGAAAAGGAATTAATGTGTTCAAGTAACCTGAAAACGGCCTAGCGTATAAGAACTGAATTATGACAAAGTTTCAAAAACAAATAAGGGAATATGTAGACAGTTGATAGTTTTCACTGTCATTGTTACATACTTAGTTATATTTCAACCTTGGATGAAAAACAAAATATGCCGGTATCTCATGACATATGCTTATTAACTACGCATTTCCTTTTTCCAACAACCTGATTGTTACCAATAAATTATAAACTATTTGTGTTTTTGGGTTTCTGTAAGGTTGTTGTCTTTCTAACTTGAATGTTGCTGTGATACTTAGTTTATGCTTCCTACAAGTTCTCTTTTCTGTGGCTTCAGTTTTCTCAACTAGTCAATGTGAAAGGCTACGTTCAGTTTCCAAATGATTTGGTTAACCTGAGAAGTTATCCCTGTGGTTCATGGCTGCTGTCAGTCAACGGGAAGTTCTGTACCTAGGTTTTGTGCATAGCCATTCCATCATAATAAAATTATTGACAGCACTAAGAACTTAGTCGATAGAATTATATCAACACTCAGGACTGGAAAATGACATTTATCAACATCTTGTGGCCACTTTTTTGTAATTTTAAACTTTCTTTTGAGTCAGTTTGGTGTTTTATTAAATGGTATTTTTTGAGACAATCTATTATCTCTCAGCCGTGTTTTCTAACGGCATCATGAACAAAGTTGTTCAGCAGTGTTATGACTTCGATTTTCGAACATTCAGTGTGCGTTTGAATTCTACTAGAGGCAGTTCGCCCTAGCCTAAGTAAACCGACAAATCTAAGATGACTTCAAGCAACATTATACAAATAAAAATAGAGAGTAACCATCTGCTTGAGATAAAGCAGAAAAGTCAGATGGACTCATAGGTACAGTGCTTTTGAGGGAAGGAATCACTGAGACTGATGGGTAAAATTATATTCACTGATTACCTGTAACTTAGTTGCCTCCATAGGTGTGATAATACTGGGATTTGAATGCATAAATTATACTAGAGGAGGAGATACTCTGGAATATTCTTTAGTTATACAACTATAGTTCCTATAAACGCCTTATTAACTTACTTTCAGTCAAGTAGAACAGTGATACTACTAAATAATATATTCGTTCAAAACACAAATATAAATCGGTACAACTAATCATATGTACAAAAATATTTAACATAAAACAACATACTTTGATTCATGAAATCCATCAAAGTGATATTTTTCTGGTACAAATTCAGTAGCCTTTTGTGTATGCGATTCGACTAGTGCACGATAATCACTACAGGGTACATAGTCTTGGTAGGCATTTGCGATTGTTTCATACTAGATAAATAGTTCAGAAGTGTGATCAAATAGCTAAGTAACTGGATCTAATTAAATATGATTGAAGTAAGCAAGATAAGTAATATGTTTTGTCAAAATTTGTGAAACTAATTGAACAGTCGAATATATATAAGCATGACAGGCAAGTCATTTGTTGGGCTTATCAAACTTTGACTGAGGTGGCTTGGAAATATGTTGGGCATCTCAACCCGTTGCCTAGGGGAAGTTGGATCGGATTGGAAGAGGGTTCAGGGTGGCCAGACTAAGACCTAGCACCAGTCCATGAAGTCTGTAATTGTTGTCTGTCATGTGGGGAGATGCAGACTGCCTGGTTAGGATGCCTGAGATGATAGCAACCAGTGGTTGAGTATTCTTGGTAACATGGCTGAAAACCAGCCTAAATAGAACAAATGTATTCACTCCTTGGCATCTTCTAGAGCTTGGATATTTGAACTAACCTTTATCTTCAGGTTGTTTATTCTCTCACACAACTTTACCTTCTTTGATATCACTGTTTTTCTATTTATCTGTTGTTTAGCTACTATTGTGAAGTTTGGTAACTAGAAACGATACACTTGTGTCTGAGGTTTTACCTTGACTCTGTCTGTCTTTCTGTCTATAATTTCACATACGTTCGGTTTCCAATGATATGAACTACAAAGTGCTTACACATCACCTAATGTTCGATGACATTTAATGTATCCACTCATTCGATGTAACAAAAGTTACTTAGGGCTTCTTTCCTTCAAGAGTGCACAAGACTCTTAGAGAACAAAATGTTTTAATGTATTCAAAAAAGCGTGACTAACGATTCCTTCTGGTGTCACTGCAGGTTTTTGTCAAAGTAATTTATTAACTGGAAATCGAGACCAATTTAAAAACAATTAAAAAGCTTAGGCATATTTCATAAAGACAACTGAACAATCGAAACAATCACCAGTTTACTCTGATTTCATCAGGATTAACAATGTCAGCGACCTGCTTGAACTTTGGGCTACCAAAGATTTTGCACACTTTAAAAATGGTTTCAAACTGCCATTTTCAAGTTACCAGCAAAACAAAATAGAAAACGATACGCCGGTGAGATATAGGCGTATAAATGCACAGAAATAGGGTACATTACTATTTCTTGGATAACTATGTCAAATTTCAGGATTTAGGCATTGGTTGAATAAACTACCACTTCCAAAATTACGCTCGATATTATATTTATTCACCAGTTCAGGTTAGACGCAAATGTATTAACCAGGTATGTGTTTCAAATTGTGATTTGTATTAGCATTATTCAAATGCAGTGACTGTTTGGCTTAAAGATATTGGTACAAAAAATGAATTTGTTGAACTATTAGATCTTGAGAATCCAATACTGTACAAGTCTTGTTTGGAATAGTTATTATTGTTATTGCGTTGATTTTTTGTATCTCAGAGAACAATACGTTTTGGAGTTATAAATTTATTTTCGAAACATTTGTTTAATGGTAATATATATCCTTTCACTTCAGTGGATAATCGAAGAAAGTCAGTCACAAGTCAAACCATAGAAATTCCATGAATGATGTTGATATATACTCACTTAAAATACAGACAAAAATGAATCCTGAAAATTGTTCAATATGAATAATACTTAAAGAATATACTAATAACAAAATCGTAAACAACACTTGTGTCCCAGAAAGCAGCAAATAAAAGTTGTTTACAGATTCTACAAATGAAAATAGCTACCAACAGATATTTTCTTGTGACAGTATTATGATATGCACTTTACTGGAATGTAAAACCATTTACTGTAGAAACTATCATGTACAACTGGTACAGATAATAATAAGTTGATGGGGAGATATTATGCTCAACTTTAAACCAGACAGCTTATTGTTTCTGGTTCAATGTTTATTTAGTTAGCTTTTTCAGCATAATTATAGAAGCATATCATGCAGGATATATGCCTCACAGAATTATGATATTCTCTTTCACTGGATTTGACTTGCTTTGTTTAGAGTTCAGACAAATACAGTGATAGAATCAGAGAAGAAGGGTCAGTTTATCTCTTTATTAGTGCAGAGAATTGAGATGAAATTGGTCAAAATGATCATTTCTGACATCTTGTTTACTTTTAATATTCGCTTTGTCTTTTGTCAAATCCTTCTTTTTCATTTTTGAATCTTTTTATCCTTTTTTACTGAGATCTATTTACTGTTTTTAAGTGCTGCAACGTGAACCATTGCGCTTTAGTGCTAGGATATACGGTAATATGTCTGTCTTTTTGTTGTCTCATAGTGTGGTACTTATATAGTTAGCTTCAACTGATGGAGTTTCGCATATCAGAACAATTCAGTTTCCATATCTTTAAGCAGATGTTCTTATTAGAGGTAGATTCTATGGTAAGATAGCAAACATGAATATATTGATCTTTAAATGTTTTCCTAGCACTGAAATTGTCGTCACTGTCTCTGTTTCGATTGGCTTTTTCAGATGACTTTGAACAACTTAGCAGCATTGGTATTTCAGGTCTAGTGGTTACAATTCTTATAAAAGTACGGGAAATTATAAATTTCTGGTTATTTTATTGATATTGGAATTAATCTTACTTCATTTATTGTTTATCATTTAGCTTACCTGTTTTATCATTGCTGAACGACTTGTAAATAAATGATTCAATAATTCAGCCAAAGAATCTTTTACAACTTCATCACTTTTTGTGATAGTCAATCGCGTATCACATAAAATTTCAACCTGTATATTTTTGAGTTAAAAAGGAAGTAGGAAAAAAGTGAAAAGTTTTGATCATGAAATGAACGGGTATTAGTTAAAATTGTTGTGAGTAAAATGGTTTCCAGTTAATGAGTAACGAAATCCGATGAATTTATTTTGCATAGTTCATCGAAAAGTATGTATTTAGCTCTGTTGCATATTCCAAACCCAATCATGGACCATTGAAAACCCGAGAGTATGGCACTCCTTAGCAATGCTAACTCGTGACTAAATCTGGGTTCGGTAACCCTGGTCCACCAGCCATCACGGTTAGCACGTTACCACTGAGCCACTGAGTAGGAATTCAATGGTCCATATTCTCTTACTTCTATCAGCCGGAAATGTAACAAGATCTTCATTGAGTGCCTTCGTTGTGTATTCGTCCTAACATCTGATTTAGTTTACCCCACTGGTCAAAACTCATTAGAACGCCGGTCAACTTCATCTTCAAGCATGCAAGCCATCGATGGCACAAGACTAAGATTTATTGTGAGTTGAAATAAGTAGGAAGATGTGGATCATTGGATTCTGATCGAATGGCCAAGTGGTAGCGTGCTCACCAAAAACCTGGTGGCCCTGAGTCCGATTACAGGTGGGGTTGTGAGTGCACACTACTGAGTCTCACACTAGGGAGAAACGACTGTCCAGTACTCTCAGGCTTTAGATAGTTCTCTATTTGATGTCATTTTGTGATGAATACCAACTTGATATCAATAAATTCGTACAATCCTCCAAAGTGAATTAAAGCTTTTGGTTCCACATTTTCTCGCTATCAAATAGCTGTTGAGTCGTTTGATTTGACTTTAGAACATTAGTATATTTTCACCTAAATATCACCCCTTAGGTTTATCAAACCCTAGTTGTAATTCTTATCTTCCCAAATGAGTGCCTATTTGACGATAGATAAGTAACAGTCTGTACATCAGTTTAATAAAGTTATTCTGGATCAAAATATAGTTTGTTATTTAAGTTGACACTGATTAAGTTTGAAACTGATTAGCTGCATGAGATATTAGCTTTTAATGAGTTGAAGTCAAGAAGGGAGAAATACTTTGGATATTAGCTGATGACATATACATAATGGTCCTCTACCATGAATTAGCTGGTAGTGAGGATACCACTCAACTTCATTTTGATCAAATAACTTTACATGTATGTGTTTGTCATGGAATGAGGAGCGGTTGATATTTAAACCTCTTTGTCACAAACGCGTGTGTACAGATCTAGACTGATTTGACACAATGAACATATAATCCACATTGATAAATCAACTTTAAATGACCCTTCAAAAATAGAGACTCTGATAAACCCCCAAAACAATCTTGACGACATTGGTCAGTAATTCACTACACTTCAAAAAATAATTACCAGGTCAACCAGCAATACATAATTTGAATACATTTAGTTTCCAGGTAACAAATATTGGCTTCAATCTACTTTCCCTACATCAGTTCGCGTGATCCATCATATTACATAAGAATTAATGATTCCTTATGGTTTGAATTACTGTCTGGAGGGTACCCGACTGACTTTGAGTGAATAAATGGCATTACACAGCTTGGTGAAATACTAAGTCTTCTGAACACTTTGAGCTGAAATTAGACACGAATTCAGGACTGGTTTGCACCAACTTCTAGTCCAAAGAAATACAGTAAAAAAAAAGTAGAAAGCTTGTGACGACTTTGCCTGGGAAGTTGCATCAGTCCTTATTGGTTTGTAGTTTGTGCACTCTCAGCCAGGACATAAAGGGTTCCAACAGAATTACCAACCGAATTCAATTCTGACAACTTGTACTTTTGAGAGGATCATAGTAATGTATGTCGGTAAAATTTGTCCCACCCTACGACTGTGAAACTTTATCGTTGAAGGTAGAAGACCCTACGTGTCTCTGAAGCAACGCCTATATGTAATAAGATAATAGAGTAAAAAATAAGAAAAGTATGTTATGTTGTATGTGTGCCTTCATTGACTAGGGTGTCTTAGAAATGCGTTATGGATCCAGAGACAAAACCTAACTCAGAACACGGTGATTCGTTTTCTAGGTGATGTGTTGAGACAGATAACACAAAATTGCTCATTTCCCTTCTCTTCATCAGGCATTTACTTACAGTCAAACAAGTCTGAACTAATTTACTGTCTTTTATAGTTTCTACGCTTTGTTTCAATTTAATACCTTTTTACTTGTGTAAGTGGAATATAATCAAAGGTGGCTTAATGTCAAAAATAATTATTCGAAAATATGAGTACAAATCACGATGTTTGATTAATGTAAGACACCAGTTGGAAAGTTCAGGTAGATAAAAGTTTCGATGAAATATCTACCAATTATTTATGGATTTCATACTCATGAGTTATTATTATTATTATTATAATTATTCATAATGGCAGGAATCAACAAAGTTTACAACTGAATGACTCTTATCTAAACCGGTATACCAAAAATAACTGGGACGTAAATATCATTTACCCATTGATGAAACATGAACTCGTTTTGCATTCATAAGTTCATCTTATGAAAAAGTATACACTCTTTTCAAACAAAAAAAGTGAAATTTCAATAAGGCATTAGTGATTAAAACTGCTACCAGTCTCAGCTATTACATCATTTTTAGAATGATGTTAACTAAATATTTTAAAAGTTATCTCTAGTATTGTAGCTAGACTAAATAAATGATATTTTTTCGTAGACAGAGTTACAACTCTCTGACATGTTTACATCTCACTTAGTGAAATAGATGTTCAGTGTTTTCCTACACATCAGCACGTAAAAGTCTATTAGTACTTGTTTATTCTGGTTTAGTATAGTTTAATTTGAGGAAAACCTTTTGTGAACTCATTTCTCATATGTACAAAACCTAATATTGCTTGTTACACATTAAAGCAGTAAACTTAGTATTATCAGAGTTGATTAACACTAACTTTGGAAAAACTACACAAAAAGCACTTATATCTGCAAAGAAGAAAGACTTTAAAATGTAGGAAAGAAGACTGTTATAATAGAAGACATTAGAAGATTTAACTAAAAGTGGAAAAAATTACCAATAGTAACACCTATTGTACGCCTTTTGTATGGCAGTGGAAATGCAGAAGATTTCATCGGTCAGCCTTTGACAGCTCTTTATAATTTTGCAGTAGGCTGAAAGCTAGATGGTTAGAATTCACGAAATATAGGAACTCCTTAGTTAAGTACTGACCTTAATTTAAAACTGAAGACTTTGCTACTACTTTTGCAAACTTCTAACTACAGTAGGTCAACACTAATCAAGTCATGGTTAGGACAAATTGATTACAGAGATAAAGGGATGAACTGTTGACGTTAAGTACAACCAAGTCCAACAGAGTATTGATAATTCTCAGAAGAATGGTGTAAAGTTATTTTGAAAAGATAGCCGAATGTATGTAACTGCTGTGCTTATAATTTAAGAGAAACAGTAAGAGTCTTCAAGATGTGCTGTGGAAGTCACCTGTTAAATGCTAAAAGAATAGAAAGCATTGACCTCTTGTTTGTGCTGTCAATGGAAAACTCTTTACCTTGGTTGCCGAAGAATAACAAAAACGTTGAGAAAAAAGACATACCAGGTATGTGCCACCCCAATTTGAAAGTCAGGAAGCTAACCAAGAAATCAATTTCAAAATAATTTTGATTAATAAACAACTTATTATTCACTAATAGAGAAAATTACTAATACAGTTATTCACTAATGATGTGCCCACCTCAGTTTCTTGTAAATCTAGATTGGGTGTAATCTCGAACGATATCGAAAAAAGTGATCGCAGATTCCATGACATTACCTGAACATCCAAAATTTGGATTGTAAATATTTGTCACCAAATCAGTGTTTATAATACCTGATTTTAGGAGAAGCAGAAGAGGAAATTTTACGACAAGCTGTATGACTAAATGCATAATTTAATGACTAGTTTGATCCCTTTTGATGGAATGATGACATTCATTTTATTAGTTATTACTCATAGTTTGGGTGTATTCTATGAACTGTTGAAGCAGAAGCGGAACTCCTGGCTGATTTGTTCAAGAGACTGAAAATGATTTCTTAGAGATCCTAGATGATATAAATAAAAATAAGTTACCTGAGTGCGAACTTACTGTGCTTCTCATTCTTAGCACTAAATGACTAACGAATACGTACTAATTAACTGCTTAGATTGGTTCTATAATATGGTCTACCTTTTTCTCTATTTTTTGGGACATTATTCCAAATGGAGACGAAGTGCCATAAGTAATTTATCTTGGCTATAATTTTGATTCACTTGATTTTTACACTTGCCTCAAACAATAACACAAGTGATGGAAGTTGTGAAGTGTGAAACAGAATGGAGTTTCATTTCGGTGGTCTCCTACACTCTGCATTCAGTGCTTTATTGACTAAGCTTTCATACTAGATAACTGTGCCAAAATAAACAAGAAATGGGAAGTAACAGGAATGTCACTCTAATCGGTGTGCCTACTAGTTCTAATGACTTCAAAAAATCATTTATTCTTTCTCTGTATGTTGTCTCTAGATAAACACTTTTTATTTCTCTCTTCTTATTAAGAGGGTTCTAACTTAATAAGTGTTTTTCATTTTTTCTCAAAACCCAAAACATTAGTTCTCTTTATCACTGACCAACGTAAGTATAAATTGCATGGTTTGTTCTTCGAACTTTTTGTTCCCTTCTGTCTTTATAATCCCTGTTTGAATGGTTCGATTAGAATCTACAGTATATTAAGATAATGCTTAAGTTGGTTAAACCATGCATGTGAACGTCTGTAGTCCGGCAATCGTTTATTCATGATGTGTAAGCTATTACTTTAGTGATGATAACTGCATAAGCGTCCACGATGAATATTTTTTCCCCAAGAAAGACTTACTTTAGGATCAGATAACTAGAAGCATTTAATGATAGGTGTTAATGTTGGGAACCAAACTACTACTTTAAACGTAGTATTCACTGATTACTTTGAAGTTTAGACACAGCATATT